TTCATTTTTGCAGTGAAATTTCAATTTTTTAATTCTGCCTATACCGTTCCTTCCTCAATTCATCTGAAATCAAATTTGAAAGGTTTTCTCAATTCAATTCTGAATGGCGCACAACCCTGTCATAACAGTACCGTATCAGTAGTCGAAATTAATTTTGCGTTGCATTCCAATTGCTCAGAAGCCATATACAGTAGTTTTGTTGGTCATGAGACATGTAAATATGAATGCATCAAATCTAGTGCAATGCTTCTTGATGTGCTACATTTGTGATTTGTGGTGACCTATGACTTACATTTCAGTCTATTTCTCATTTAAACTGTTGTATGACTTCAGAAGACTCGGATTATAGTATGCGAGTTAGATTTATTGTGTGTTCTGGTCTCAGTATTTCATTGTTCACAGTGCTTTTTCCAATACGTTCTTCAAGATTTCTCTTCTAGTAAAGAAAGAAAAGCAACGGGTTTAGAACAACAAGAGGATGAGTAAATGATGACACAGTTTTCTTTTTGGTGAACCATCCCTTTTAAGGAACTACAGTACGGAAGGACAGAATGAAAGAGCGGCGACCCTTTGAACCGCAGCATTGGTAACAGTGCGTTTTCAAGCGTATATTTCTCTCTGACGCAGCGAGATCACAGCTTTGCTCCAGGGCTTTTTCTCCAGATTGCCTCTGAGTCACAGGACAGTGATTCTGCCAGTAACATGCTGAGCACACTTTCCAAACCTAACACTGCTAACCTTCATCATGTAGAAAACTGAACTCGGAAGATCTCAACCCTCTGCTTTCAAAGAACAGTGCTCCCCAAAATGAACATCCCGTCGTCATGTCCTTCGAAATTATATTTCTTTCATCTGTGGAACACAAAAGGAGATATTTAGAGCAGAAGGTGAGATTCTCTTGACACCACAACACAATATATTAAAGTGCTATTTGAATAAAAGCTGTTCCCCAAGAGGACTGAGCTACTTGAGTAGAATAAGAGGTCTTGTAATGTGATATTTAGTATGCGGAGCACAGGAAGATTACAGGCGTCGCTTATTTACATAGCAGGATTTGGTGACTGTTGAAAGGCAAGAACAATCATACTGTGACAGCCAGACAAAATTACTCAATTGGAAAATTGCTTGTGTTTTTAATACACTCCACAGTCTTGCTAAATTTATGGCAACAGTCTCCACGCTGATATCTGATATATCAAAAACCCACCTAGATCTAAATATTTAAAGGCAAAATCTTGATCAGCCAGAAGGAACGTCCAACTGCCGCCATTTACCTTCAAATACGTTTTTTTTTTTTGGGAGTATTTTGAAGTATTTGTGCATATGTGTGAGTGCGCACGAGCTTAATGTCAGAACAATAACTAGAATATCAGTGCTGGATCTCGTCAAAGGGATGGATATCATGGGAAATATCTCCTGGCTGATTTGTAAGAGCCTTATTGAATTATCTATGGCTGATATACTTATTTGCATGTTAAACACAGAAGCCAAAGCTTTTCTTCTGGTGCCACTTTGCACACAATAAAACTTCCCCTCCGTTCTTTTAAACACGTCAAAACATCATCCATCCACAAAACCAAACATTAGGGCTGGCCAATATATTAGATATTCATGATGATATAGAGTATTGTGATGATATAAAATAGAGCATTGCACTTCATTTAATGCACTTTTTGTCTAAGGACAGTGTCAATCGAGCTGTTTTTAGAGTTGGGAAATTCGAGTCATTGCCGGTTCAAATACATTTCAATAAATCGATTCAGAGCTTTTTGATCAAATAAATCCAAACTTGGTGAGAATTAGAGACGATAAAAAAATCGTACTGACCCCAAACTTTAAACGGTAGTGTATGTGGGTAATTATTACTGATTGTTACTATGCATTATTTTATTGGTGCATTTAAATGAAAATGATCAAATATCAGGGTTATTATAAAATTAAAGCCATTAAAAATGAAAATTATGGGTTGTTGCTTGGAATGAAATACATTTTTTTATTTCAGCGAGTTGCCAAGGCAGTTTAGTACTTGATGTACTAAAACAACTAAAACTGTAATAAAAATGAATATAAACTAGGCTATATAGACAATAAAAAAAAAACATAAAAATGGCAAAAACACAGCAAAATTACTAAAAGGTTAACTAAAATTAAAATGGAAAATAAAATAATAATAAAAACTAATACAAAATATGAATAAAAAATAAGTAGTATCTCAATGATACTAAAATAACACTGTCAAATACCAGGCTTCCTTGTGCTAATTTAGCCAAAAACAATGCCTTCATTATTTTTAACTATTTTTTTAAATTGTGTTTTAGTTCTTACATTAAATATTTTTAATCTACTTGGGAGAAAAAAGACCAACACAAATATAGAGATTTATATCAAATTCATCACCTGCCAGAAAAAAGTTACCAGCTGTTCACCCAAACCACTGAACAGCTGGTAAAGTATTCTGATATCAATTTTGTGCATAATGTCCATTATGTTCATCATGTCACTATACTACCTATTTTTGTACATACACTTTACATCCACAGTGCTCGCCTGTTATGATTAAGCAGGAAGATTCATTTTTTGGGTGATGATAGAACCATCCTCCACGGTTGCCTGGTGAGACTTGGCAAACGTCGCCCCACCCCCTCCCACGCATCTCATGCTCTCTTCTGGTGCGCCCACCCGTCGTCTATGGGGTCCAGGCTGCATCCTGGAGCTCTACGTCTTTATGACACCATCCCAGCTAACAAAAATATGTTTTGCTAACGTTCCAATTAAGTAACGAAAATTGTATGTTCTCAGAACATTCAAAACATACATTTTTTTATGTTTTTAAAATGATAAATTAAGGAATTGTTTTCTCTAATTTTGGGGAACATTAAATGGGATTTAGATTGGAAAATGGGATTTTCACTATAATTGGCTCAATCATCTTCAGATCATGCTGGCTAAAAGTTATTAAAAGCTTTTTGATAAACCCGATTTCAAATAACATGCAAACTAATTTGAAAAAGAGCACGCCGAATTGGATGTGAGGCTATATTTCTGCAACGCTTTCGAATATTGAGACAAATCTTGGTACATGTCATCACAAGCATGACCTGAGGCTACATGCAGTGTTTTGGCACAGCACCACCTACTGGTCAGGAGATATGAAAAATGGCTAATTTTGCTAATAACTTCTGAAAGCTTTGCCCAAAAATCATCGCCCATTTAAAAAAAATTAATTTAGCCTATTTTTATGAAACCTTCTTTGTGGGTTCCTTGAGTCATACCGAGAACAATGATACCAATTTTGTACAAAAAAAATACAACTATATATATATTTTTAAACCTGCTTTTCCAAACCGTTGGTACAATTTTCACAAAAATCGGCTCAGATCATCTTTAGACTACGCAGACAAAAAGTTATTACAAGCTTTTTAATTGAACCAAAACTGTTCTCAAATAACAAAAGCATCAACAAATTTGATGGCTTGATGCCAAGCTGATTCTGACAAGAAATCTGAGGTATATTTTACAGACTGCCGAAAGCTAAAGAAAAGCAAAGCAAATGGATCGGATAAAAACAACTGGACTCCAGGCAGCGAAACGTGAATTTGCAGTTGTCATTTTGTGTCACTATGCTGAATTGGGTAAAATCATACCCTATTTTTGTACTGTTATTTATTGTAATGACAACTCAATTAAATATTTACCATTGTAAATTATGCATAATTGGACGTTTTTAAATAAACACTGATAGAAAACTACAGGCCTACAAGTTTTAGGGCTGGACGATATGACGATATAACATTGATATAAGTGCTTTAGACCTACCTATATTGTATTTATATAAAGCGTTCACAGGCACATTTTCTTAATTTATTTCCCCTGCGTCGAAATCAGGCACATATAAATGTCAGGAAACACGATTCCTGGCTGCATGTCAATATCCATGGATCACTGGATCTAAGTTGTAAGGAACACTAAATCGAGTCCAACCTTTAGTTTAAACTGATAATTGTTTGTTTTACTCATGTTTTCGCAGTTTCCCCAATTAAATCCAGCACTCGGTCCGGCTGAGGTGAGTGTGTTCCGGCGGGAAAGTGAGATCAGCGCACACCGACACCAAACTTTATATGTGTCATTCCCACTGACCACACAACATCAATTTGGTAACAGCGATTATACAAGTGATTGTATATGTGATTTTTCAGCCATTTTGACTAAAATAATATAAAAATTCCTCATTGTTGCATTAAAAAGAGCTGAAGTAATCTCAAAGATCATAGCTCATTATTTGTGTTCATTAAATGACTCACGCTAAGTCAGACAACAGATTTTTGAGTTATTCTTACACTTAGGCTACGCCATCTGGAAAAACCATCATTCTCAGCTTTACCAAAAGACACACAGTATGAAGGAGAGAAACCACATTCATTGTCTCCCCACAATCCTGAACACTACAACCAGGGGCGGATCTAGAAAAATATTTATGGGGTGGCAAGAGGGGGGCAGGAATTTTTGAGGGGTGGCAACATGGCAGACGTATATGTACTTAATTTAATTTGTGAGTACAGGGCTGGACTGGGACAAAAAATCGGCCCGGGCATTTTGGCCCAGACTGGCCCACTACATATAATCATAAACACAACCGAATGTATACCAACTCCTATAAAAACCACTGAGTTAGAGTTAATAGATGAAATAACTACTAAGTTGAACTATACTCCACAGTGATGAATCCTAAAACAAGCAATAAGCTGCATTGGGATAGCAATACCGTTTTTTCCCATAGGATTTTGGTAAATCTGTGGTGAGTGCAGAGTGCACCTCTGTCCCTCTAGGGGGGTTCGGGGGCATGCTCCCCCGTAAGAAAATTTTGTGCTTTTTAATGTTAAATTCATCAATCTGGTGCACTTTGAGAGTTCAAAATAAAGAGCTCCAACCCATATGCAGTGTGCAAATTGAACAAAGAAAAACTCAAAACTCTTTTTAGTTGTGATAGTGTCTGTCTACATTACACTACTATATAATAATAGTTATAATATTATGGCCAGTCCAGCCCTGTGCTGTGTGAGTATAAAGGCAGGGGTGCGTTTAACTTTTGGAGCCAAGGTGTGCCGACCTTTTTCCCTTTTTTATATATAGGCTATTATTTTGTTGAGCACCCAACAAGAATCAATTTATAGAATCAATTATATCATTTAAATACTTCTAAGATCCATATTACTATCACACGAGCCAATGGCAATTAAATGCACGGATGCATAACGTTAGTCAGATTAATGAATGAAATACAACTGTTCACGAACAGAAGATTGTATTGGACTCATGCTGCATACATACGCAATGACAATTATGCCTACTGTAAATATAGAGTTACAACTACGATTAGAGTTGTTAAATAAAATACCCTGTGAACATTCACACGTTTTCTTTATGATAGGCTAAAATTTATCTCCATAAATATTAAATAATATTTTCTTAATTCTGCGCATGTATTTTTACTTACTTACATCAATTGCTCGATCAATATTATTATCACATATTTTACATTTATATTTTTAACTGTACACAAACAACTTAATATAGCTAAGTTTGTGTATATTTTACACGTAGTAAAATACTGTAGGCTACTGTTTATAAACACCAGACAGATAATGATATATGAAACTGATGTTCTTTACTCATCTCACTTGCACAAAATAAATGCAGTAATATAAAGCATAGAAACGCACAGGTGAAATACACTGAAAATGATATGCATTTAAAAATTTGGTCGGGTTGAAAACTTATCTCTCTGGTAATGGAACTCGGTCGCTGTTGTCTCTTGCTCTCGCTGTCTCCCGCTCTCGCGGTCAGATCACCGC